ATTTCAAATGTTGTATTAAATTAAATTACAGAAGTCATACGCTTGAGATGGCTATTCACTGGAAACTATCAAATGTAATAATGATACTATTCTTTGGATTTGCTGCATATGTACAGCACAATGATGTGGACCCTGTCTTCTGGATTACAATCTATTCCATACCATGTCTTATATCAATGATACAACTTTGTGTGCCGTCTGTTAATCAAAGTTATGCATACCATTGGATAATTCGTGTCTTTCTATTTGTTTACATACTTTTAAATGTTTCACTGCTCTATGAATTTATAAGAGTGTCTTATAATCACAAGAATTACAACCCATTAGACAGCGAAGAGGGTCGAGAATTGCTGGGTCTTGTAATTATAGTTATTTGGATCTCAATCTCTATTTATTATATGTCCGCACAATTGCCCATTGATGTGATTGTCTCTCGAAATGTCAAAATTTTTGTCATCAGTTTTAGTTGTTTACCGGTTTTACTCTGGTTTTACTATATTCTCCATCGAATACAACTTTGTTAGTCTAAAGTTTAGACTCTAAACATTTGTCCCATAATTCATATTTTATTGTTCACTGCATTTGTGTTACATTATAGACAAGCAAGAGTTTATTTTTATTTTTTTTCAAATGCAATTCCCAGACATCTCAACTTATTTAATAAATTAAATTATTTCAAAATGCGTTTACATTGGCTTATAGATATAACTATTGAATTATAGAATTATGTATGTAATCAAGTATATTCACCATTTACTCAATTATGATAAATAAATTTTTATATTAAATATATTACTATTAATGATATGTTACATGGCTACATTATAAGTTTCTTTAATTTCATTGTTAAAATAAAATTAAACTTACATAAATTTATATAAAACATTACCATAATTCAATGTTTTACATCATGTTTTATTCCCAAGTAGTTTAAATAAAAAATGTTATGTAATATTAAAATATTAATAAATAAGTCGACAATATAACTCATTTGAAAGTTTACTATTTTAACAAATGAATTATAAATTTATTTTAATTATTCACTATACAGTATAATCAAATAGTTATACATTAGCAACAAAATATTCAAATAATTATTAATTTCACAATTATTACTATAGAATTAAATTCTATATTATATGAGAGATTCTGTACATATGTATCATACAGTAGTACTGTATAGAATAAAATGTAAATGTAATGTACTTTTTGAATGGTTTCTATAGCATTGCGTTATTACATAACGAATGCAAACATGTGTTTGAAGTGAATGTGTGTTTGTTTTGATTGATTGTAAGCATCGGTTGATTGCAATGAAAATGAGATTCAATGCAGACATGAGTTCATTTGATTCACTCATTCAACACAATCTCAACAAACAATTGATGGGTTACTCGAAGAAGAAGATCCAGAATCACAAGTTTGGCAAACAATTGAAAAACAACGTGAAGAGGACATGGATGAGCCGAGACATGACCGCAAACACCATGAAATGCGCTCCTAATCTGATGGCCAAGTCGTTGACAACTCTGAGGAATGAATTGCCCATCAGTTCAGTGAGGGATCAGATCATATCAGTGGTGAAGAAGTGCGAGACAGTGGTGTTCTTGGGGGAGACCGGGTCCGGGAAGACGACACAAATACCGCAATACTTGTATGAAAACAATTTTGTGGCCAAAAGCGGACAAAACAATGGTATGATTGGTGTGACTCAACCCCGAAGAGTGGCCGCCATTACGATCGCTGAACGAGTGGCTCAAGAGATGAACGTTCAGATCGGATCAGTTGTCGGCTATTCGGTTAGGTTTGAAGACATGTCTTCACCGCAAACTAAAATCAAATACTTGACCGACGGAACCCTTCTTCGAGAAGCCATAAGTGATCCTCTTTTGCATAAATACAAAGTCATTGTCTTAGACGAGGCACACGAGCGCACCGTTCAGACGGATCTGCTGTTAGGTGTCATCAAAAAAGCGCAACAACTCAGACATCAACAGCAGAGACCTGTTCTTAAAGTGATAGTCATGTCTGCGACCATGGATTGCGACCACTTTTCCCAATACTTCAATAAAGCGCCCGTTTATTACATATTAGGCCGACAGCACACCATTCAGGTCTTCATTTGTCATTTTGTCTCTCATTTGTAATCACTTTTATAACAATTAATTGAATAAACAGATGATGTATGCGAAGGAAAAACAAAGCGATTATATGAACGCCGCTCTCGTTTCGGTCTTTCAGATACACCAAAACGAAGACATCGGGTATTTATACCATTAATTGATTCATTTATTTGTTTGTTTTATTCGTTATATCTTTCAAATATCTTCAGAGATATTCTGGTGTTTAGTACCGGAGAGGAAGAAATAGAATCAATGATACGTTCTGTCAATGAAGTCATTCCTCAACTGCCATTAGGTTTGTGTATAATATGATTGTTATTATTTTAACTTCGAGTTTGTATTTATCCGTTAATTATTGTTATAAAGAATTTCAGAAACTCAGAGCACTTCCACTCTATTCAGCCCTTCCCATCCCTCATCAACAAAGGGTTTTCAAACGACTCGAAGTATTTATTTTTCATTTCACTTATAAAATTAGTTTTAGTTTATGAACGAGTTTCTAATGTTGTCCATAGAATGGCTTTCGAAAAGTGATTTTTGCCACAAATATAGCCGAAACATCGATCACCATTCCCAACATCAAATATGTTGTCGATTCCGGGAAAGTCAAGTCTCGGTCCTATAACTCAGTCACTGGATTTGAGACATTAAAAATTCAGTCCATATCTAAAGCACAGGCGGCTCAGAGGGCGGGCAGAGCCGGCAGGGAAATGAGGTTTAATTGCTTTTCTGATTAGAAGTTTTACTTTAATTTAATATTTTGATAATCTTTTTAAAAGTGGTGTTTGCTATCGACTGTACACTATAGAGGAATACAAAGGATTCAGAGATCACGCCATTCCAGAGATTCAAAGGTGTAATTTAGCCAATGTTTTGCTGCATTTAATTGCCATTGGAATCAATGATGTTTTGAATTTTGATTTTATGGATAAACCATCCGAAGAGGTAACTCTTATTATTTTAAGTTTATATTAAGTTTTTGATGAATGACTCTATGAGTAACACCATGGTTATTTTCTAAAGAACATTAAAAGTGCTTTACACCAATTGGTTCACTTTGGAGCCATTGAAGCAAAACAAGATCTCTATTACGTAAATATCTTCTTAACAAATGCATTGTTTATAATATACGGTTATATTATAACATTATGATTGCTGTACATTCCCTATTGACAGCTGACAGATATCGGTAACCTTATGGTTATATTTCCAGTCGAACCCAAGTTTTCCAAAATAATAATCTCATCAAAATCAATGGGTTGCACGTATGGATGTTTACTCATTTGATTAAAAACATCATTGTGCTGTACATATGCAGCAAATCCAAAGAATAGTATCATTATTACATTTGATAGTTTCCAGTGAATAGCCATCTCAAGCGTATGACTTCTGTAATTTAATTTAATACAACATTTGAAATTGATTTTCCAAATAAAATTAATATTTTAGAATAAATATGATATACTTTTCTAAAATTGTTAATAAAAAACAAATCTAATTTTTAAATTAAATAAATTACTATTTAGTACATAAATGCAGCCAGTAAATATAGAATTTATAAAATACATATAAAATTACTTTTAGCACATTTAAAATTAAATTTGAAGAAATAATTGTAAATGAACCTTTGTTATTGTTTAATTATAAATAATGTATGACATACTATCTAAGAGCATATTTAAAAATGCATAATAAGTTTACAAAATGTATAGTGCTTTCTAATAATAGATCATAGTGATACTAAAAAATATATAACCAATATTTGAAAAAGTTAGTTATCTATCACTATATTATTTAATAATTGTATTTGTGAGAAATTTGTTTTGATTGTTGTTTGTGTATCAGATGAATGAATAGTTAGAAAATTATAGGTTTAGGAATTGTTTACTAAACAATAAAATAATAGATTCTTTCATTAG